GAGGTCACACCTGAGGTGGCATCTATTCATCCTGAATCCACAAAGGATGATCGATATGGCTTGTGGGTTGAGGTAGATGAAGGTCTAAGACTAGTGGCCCATGGATCAGTTCATGAAGGGGCTTCAACCATCCACAATGTGCCTTTGGATCCTAACTTGGTCAAAGTAGTGGTTGAAAAGGTGGTTGACGCTGAGGCTAGTGTCCTTATCCCCACTGAAGAGGTGCAGACAGTGGGCCAAGCCCTTCAGACCTTCATTAATTGGCCCCGACATTTAGTTAGGTCAATCATGGCAAAGGTATGTATATGTATGGTTATAATACATCTAACACATAAATAAATTAATTTATTGTTTATGATTATATTTTATAAAATATGTAGGATCACTACTACAAAATATGTTTTCAACGTCGCCATTTAACGTCGGTTAAAGCTGAGCCGACGTTAAATGCACTTTCAACGTCGGTTGATTAAAAAACGACGTAGAAAGTACATTCAACGTCGGTTCCGGATGAGCCGGCGTTGAATGTCAACTTTCAACGTCGGTTCATCCGGAACCGATGTTGAATGTGTTTTCACCAAAAAAATTTTTAAGTTAGAGAATTGTCACCGACAGGGTTCGAACCTAGTACTTTAAAGTTGAAAGTTGATACTCCAACCACTAAACTACTGTAATTTTCTAATAATAACTTACAAATTAATTATATTTATATACAAATAAATATATATTCCGTATAAATATATATTTATTTATATTTTCTGGAAAGTGTTTTTATTTTTTTCAACCAAAAATTCACTTAAGTTAGAGAATTGTCACTGACAGGATTCGAACCTAGTATTTTAGAATTGAAAGCTAATACTCCAACCACTAAACTACTATAATTTTCTCGATAATAACTTACAGATAAATTATATTTATATACAAATAAATATATATCTGTGTAAATATATATTTATTTATATATATTTTCTCGGAAAGTGTTTTTATTTTTTTCAGTAAAAAATTCACTTAAGTTAGAGAATTGTCAACTGATAGGATTCGAATATAGTATTTTAGAGTTGAAAATTAATACTCCAACCACTAAACTACTATAATATTTTGATAATAATTTACAAATAAATTATATTTATATACAAATAAATATATATCCGTGTAAATATATAAATACAAATATATTTATATATTTTTATGTTGGATGTAAGGGCGCGATCGAGGGTGAAAGTGAGATTGACTCTCGTTTGAGTGAAAATACGTTAAAGCTCACGGAAATTCACTCGTTCAAGCCTAGCTTGAGCGAAAATTGGTATTTTTCGCTTGAGCAAATGTGTCACTTGAGCGAATGATGCGTTTTTCAAATTTATTTTATATCATTATATAAATAAATTATAAATATTATATTCTGTCATTAAATTACAAACCCATATATAGAGACTCGCTCACAAATTTGGCATTAAATTTTGAAAACCCACTCGACACACACTTTCACCTTCGAGCGTGCCCTCACATCCAATATATAAATATATAATTATATAAATATATCAAAATATATAAATATATTTGTATTTATATATTTACACGGATATATATTTATTTGTATATAAATATAATTTATTTGTAACTTACTATCAAAAAATTCGAGTAGTTTAGTGGTTGGAGTATCAGCCTCCAACACTAAGGTACTGGGTTCGAATCCTGTCAGTGACAAAAAAATAATTTGGTAATGCTTTAAACTTAAAAAAAATATGATAAATAATAAAAATATAATATAAAAGAGAGAGGGACCTAATAAAAATATAATATAAAAGAGATGGGGGATTTCTAGATAAATAGAGGGGTTGGAAAGGTTGGAAATAAATAAAAAAATTTAATTTGAATAATCAGAGTTTCAACATCGGTTCTATTTAACCGACGTTGAAGGCCTTCCAGAACCGACGTTGAAGGCCTTATTTGTAGTAGTGGATGTTCAGTAGCCAAAAGACTTGGGTAAAGCTATTACCACTCCTTCTGGATCTAAGGAGAAGACACCAGTTGTGGAGACTTCTCCAAATCCAATTTTTGATCTCTTGTCTCTTTCCCCACAATTGTATATGCAGTCATTCCAAGTTCCATGGGATTGTACATTATTTGGGATGGCTTCTAGCAATATCCCCCTATACATTTCCCACACTGATGCCCTGGAGATTGAGATGGGCAATCAATGTCTAAATATAGCTATTTTACAATTTTGGACATTGTAAGTTCATATCTTTCATGACTCTTTTCATTTTAGTAAATATATAAGCTATAAGTTCACTTAAATTGGCATATTTTAGGATGATGCACGAAATGATAGTGGAGCAGGGCATTGGTCATGTGTATGGATTCTTCGAGCCTCAATCCATACAAAAGTCTGGGAATAAGCGTGATCAAATTCTCAGTTACATGTAGAATTGGATCACTGATTCTAAAAGAGATATTTACCTTGGAGCATACCATCATTCGTAAGTTATCCCAGCCTCTTCTGGTTTTACACAAGTTTTTTTAATAGATTCTAATCATGTGTATATACAGAAACCACTGGCAGCTCTTAGTTATTTGTCCAAAGCAGAATCTTGTGTGTTGGTTCTGCTCATTGGGAAGAAAACCTGACATGGAGCTAAAAAATATTGTAAACAAGTATTTCTTATATTATGTCTAAACATCTTCATTAATCTATTTCTAAGCCGCTTCTTTTCAATATATAGTGCTTTAAAGGTTTGTAGTACATTAGATGGAAAACACACAAGTAAAAGCACAGCTCCAAATTGGAATTTTATCAAAGTAAGTAGCCTTTATATATATTATACTATCTATTAATTTATGTTCAAATTTAATAGTTATTTTTAACATATTTAGTCATTTTTAGTGTAACAAACAAAATGGAGGATACGAGTGCGGCTACTCTGTAATGTATTGGATGTGGCTCATCATTTTTGGTAGCATTGAGGATAGTTGGAATGAGGTAAGTTGACATTTGCTATTATATTCAATTCCTTTATTTTTATTGCTTAGGGTTTATCATTCTATTATTGTGAACTTCTTACAGGCATTTAAAGATATAGAACCTTTGCCTATGGATACTATAGACATGGTTAGAAACAAATGGGCAGAAAAGTTTGTACAAGTAGTTAGGAATAGGATTGATTGATAATTTTTTGTGTATTTTGTACATAATTTGGCTGATTTTGACATATATATCTATCATTTTATATATAGTGATTAGCTGAAATAAATATACTGTCTGGACTGAAATTATAGCAGGTCGTGTACTGTTGGTGACACTAAAACAGACCAACATTTAAAAAAAAAGGATATTCTACGTCGGTTATTGCATTAACCGACGTTGTAACGAATATACAATGTCGGTTATGGCATTAACCGACGTAGTATATTCGTTACAACGTCGGTTAATGCAATAACCGACGTTGTATATATAACTTTCAACGTCGGTTAGTTCAATAACCGACGTAGAATTTACTCATTTCTACGATGGACATTTGGTTAACCGACGTAGATTTCTAACACTTTTAACGTCGGGTTTTCTGAACCGACGTAGAATCCTTTGACATTCAACGACGCCTGATTCAACGACGTCATTGGAACCGACGTTGAATGCCTTCTACACCCGACGTTGAATGATCATTCTGTAGTAGTGTAGTACACATATGTTTTCTACATAATTCTAGAAGTTTTACATAATTCTAGATTTTCTTAATTCTAGAATTATCTATCTTCTACTTTTAAACATTTCTAGAATCTTTTAAGGATTATAGATATTACTCTTATGTAATTCCTAATTCTAGTAACATCTAAGATTTTATATTCTAGATCTTTCTACAATTTGTATCATCTTTCAACAAGCTCTATCTAATACTACAATCTTTCCCTCATCATATAGTTTTCAATGTCCATGATCCCTATAGTAAAATGTACAGTTTTGTCCATCGTTTATTTTCATTATACATCATGCAAAAAACCATAATTTAATCCTGAAAATTTGTGCTAAGAGCAGAATGACATTCAAATCATCCTGACTCATATGGTAAGTATCCTTTCAGCGGAGGGGAATGAAAACAGGATGTGCAAAAATTTTGAAAATAGAAATAGAAGGAAAAAAAAAATCAACCTTATTTTTATTTCTAGAGTTTTCATTATTCCATACTTGTTTTTTTTTTCAACCTAAAAGAGAAAAATCCAAACTTCAACAATTTCTCTCACCTTTTTTCTTTTTCTCAGTCAAAAAATAGGGTTAAAGTAATACATTTAGATAACCAATAGACAAGTACACCAAAAATTGTCTAGGCATATATTGGGCGATAAATATATAAAAATTAACTGGAATAAACAAATAGTATGAACTTCTCTTCTATATCTAATTAGTAATCACAAACAAATCACCATATATCATAAGTTTATTGACTTTTATAATGATTACCTTGTAACCCAATACATATGTCTCCCATAAAAGCATAGAAGCCAACTATCACCATGCTGGTAATTCCATTCATTAGGAGAAGTATTATATCACCAAGAAGAAACTTTTGTCTTCAAAATTAAGAAGGCACACTATAACGGCAATATAACATTATATCCAATGCTAAAGCATACGAGGTATTTTGTAATTTCTAAGAAATTTAAATACCTATTATCAAAGTAACGAGTCGACTCGTTGACGAGTAAACTTAAATAGACTCGTTTTACAGTGGATTCGAAATCAAAATTAGATGAAGCTCTGCATCAAAGGTAGTTACCGAGTTTAAAGGAAAAGAGAAACTTACATTAGTTCCGCTTGTACTTCTCATTTCTTCTCATAAGTTCATCTCGCATCCCTCGTCCCTTTTCGCAGTACGCCGCTGCACTGGTTGTCGTCGCTGATGGTCTTCATCGCAATGGTAGCTTGTTCTCTAGCCCTGGTTGCGGTAGCGTTCGCACTGTTCACTCGCCGCTGATTGCACAACGGGTAAGCACTCCTCCACGAGAAAATGGTGGAGGCCACCTCTGACAAGTTCATCGTTGTTGTGGACGACATGAAGCTCGTCGATAGCTTGGGGGCAGCGGTCTCTCCATGCAATGGAGGTGATTCAGTTCTACTGGAAGTACAATTTGAATAGCCTCCAACAACTCTTAGAGAAAGAAGGATGCGACGGCAAATTAAGATGGGGCGAATATGGAATGTGATCACTCAAATTAGGAATTACCTTGCAATCTCCAATCTTGAAGGTGTCCTCAAACATATGTCAGCTCTGCTGTCGTTGCCAACAAATATGGCATCTAAGTTAAAAAAACATCTGATAGAAATGCATCTCAAAAGTTAACTGCTATTAATTACTGTATTTTTTGCAATCTTATTATCTTCAACTGTAATTTCAAAATCAAACATATATTTCATATATATTTTATATTATTATACAAGGATAACTTTTGTATAATTTTGCATATAACTTAGTTTTTAAATATTTATATTTTTAAAATTTATTTTTTATTTGTAAATATCAATAATTAGGAGTCTTGTAATTATTTCATCTAACATTTCCCTTATTAAAATTTAGAATTTATTATTAAAACTCAATTTCATAGTGATGAAATATTTCAAATGATATATTATTAAAACTCAATTTATTATTAAAACTCAATTTATTATTAAAACTCAATTTATTATTAAAACTCAATTTTGATAATGGAAATCCATGAAATGCACAAGAAGATACAAGATACAAAATTTTCCATTTTCTAAACTTGTACTGTTCAAATTCATGATAATCAACCTTAACACAGTTATGAATAAATATAATTAAACAGATTAAAATCATATTTTTTATATTATATTAACAATCTTTTAAAATAATTTACATAAACAAAATAGGATAAGACATGATCATAAATGGAAACATCAATAAAATAAGTAGAAACAAAAAAACAGTAAAATAGAAAAAAAAAACATATGTTTTAAAAAGCACATTTAAATTTTTTAGATAAATTCATGTTAAATCATTACTCAAGATGACACAAACACTTTAATTAAAATTAAAATTTGATTCTCTAAATTTAGGAGAATCATTTTAAAACATAAAGTAATTGATTATAAAAACAATCATCATAATTATTATTAGTTTTAAATTTTGTTATATATAAATATAATCTTATAATAATTTAAAACAAATGATTTGATAATTAATTTTAACCCATTTTATTATCCTTTTAAAATATTTTTTCACATTAAACATTCTGAAGTTATAATAAATGAGATATATTGTCATCAACAAAAATATTAGAACTTTTCCTTTCAACAGTCACACTATATCTTTCTAAATATTAATGTCTCAACTACCTTACTGTAATATCCTTTTTGATGTTTTCCTTTCTAAGTTTGAAAATGGATATAAACCATGATTGTCTTTATCACTTTCTCTTCTCTCCTTGTGTCATGTTTTTCAAGATTAAGAAAAAGACACAAAATCCTTTAATATTTCTTTTTAAAATTAAAAAAGAAAAGAAAACTTATTACCTGAAACATTTTCTTTAAAAATGTGTATAAAGATGGATATATGTTTTTAAGTTCAATTTTTTTTAAAATATATATATATATATATATATATAAAATGATAAATAAAATATTTTTTAAAATTATTAATGCACACCCATGTGCAGATAGATATATAATTAATAAATTATCAATCATTTTATTCAAATTGAGAATTTTATTGATATAATTTATTTACATTATTTTTTTTATCAAAATTAAATGATTAATTTTTTTAATAAATATTATATTATTTAATATCTTTGGATGTTAATATGAAATTAGTGTTTTATAATATAGGAGGTTACAAAGATTTTTTTTAGGTAACAAGTATATTTTACATATTAACTACACGATTATTTCTAACACTCACATTTTATAAATAAATTTTATTTTCGTATAAATTTGTTTTTTTAAAATAATATCATAAAATTATAATCATTCAAATTTAATTATGTAACTATTTTTTAAATCATGCATGAATTGTTCGTGTACTTTTCACGTGGTGCAATTTTCCTGCGGCTTCTAAAAAGCCTGTTTTGGACATGAAACCAAAAGCACATTTAAAGTTGAATTAAACATGTTTGTTTGTCAAATGTTAGAAACATTCCTTGGACAGTATTAAAAGGTTCCTGTCCATGTCCAAAAAAACTGGATTGGATTCACGCGCTATTTTTTATTTTTATTTTTTATACCAGGAAACTTTAATTATAGTGAGGTGAATAATATATATTTATGATTCATAAATAAAAGTATAATTAATTTTTGGTGTTTTACTTGTGTTCACGTAAATAAAAAAAAAAAATTTCATATCTCATAATTTAACATAAGCTTAATTTTTAACTATGATTTATAAGTTTTAAAATAATTAATTGTTTTTTTTTTGTCAAATATTTTGATCCACTAATATTTTTAATAAATATCTATTATATATTGTTAAAAAAATTATACTTAAAATCCTTTTTTCTTATTCATATATAATTTTTCTCCTTTAATCAAATACTAAATATAATACTGAATAATTAATTTATAGTAAATCCATTTAATAAAAAAACATTAAAACACATATAACTGGATTTCATAAAACTGGTGCAGTAAATCTTATTAATACAATTAATGAACTAAAAGTAAAGTAAAATATCTAGCAATAATTTGGAAAATTCTGAGTCCAGCAATAATTTGGAAAATTCAAATAGATTTCAGAGAATTCATTATAATTCCAAATTTTTTTCAAAAAAAGTAAGAAATAACTACAAAAATGAAACAAAAATTAATATAAATTTGTTTTTTTAAAGGCTGCTGAAATTTTATTATTTTTTTTACAGAAGTGACTTCTCCATGTACGAATTAGTTTTTCATCTTTTAGATAAACAATATTCGGAAAAAAAATTAATTAAATTATTTTGTATTATAAATATGTAGATAATGGAACCTTAACATTACCACTACTACAAAATATGCTTTCAACGTCGCCATTTAACGTCGGTTCCGGATGAACCGACGTTGAAAGTTGACATTCAACGTCGGTTCATCCGGAACCGACGTTGAATGTGTTTTCACCAAAAATTCTTTTAAGTTAGAGAATTGTCACTTGGCGAGGTTCGAATCCAAGTACTTTAAAGTTGATACTCCAACCACTAAACTACTGTAATTTTCCGATAATAACTTACAAATTAATTATATTTATATACAAATAAATATATATTCCGTATAAATATATATTTATTTATATTTTCTGGAAAGTGTTTTTATTTTTTTCAGCCAAAAATTCACTTAAGTTAGAGAATTGTCACCGACAGGATTCGAACCTAGTATTTTAAAATTGAAAGCTAATACTCCAACCACTAAACTACTGTAATTTTCTCGATAATAACTTACGGATAAATTATATTTATATACAAATAAATATATATTCGTGTAAATATATATTTATTTATATATATTTTCTGGAAAGTGTTTTTATTTTTTTCAGTAAAAAATTCACTTAAGTTAGAGAATTGTCACTCGATAGGATTCGAATATAGTATTTTAGAGTTGAAAATTAATACTCCAACCACTAAACTACTATAATTTTTTGATAATAATTTACAAATAAATTATATTTATATACAAATAAATATATATCCGTGTAAATATATAAATACAAATATATTTATATATTTTTATGTTGGATGTGAGGGCGCGATCGAGGGTGAAAGTGAGATTGACTCTCGTTTGAGTGAAAATACGTTAAAGCTCACGAAATTCACTCGTTCAAGCCTAGCTTGAGCGAAAATTGGTATTTTTCGCTTGAGCGAATGTGTCACTTGAGCGAATGATGCGTTTTTCAAATTTATTTTATATCATTATATAAATAAATTATAAATATTATATTCTGTCATTAAATTACAAACCCATATATAGATACTCGCTCACAAATTTGGCATTAAATTTTGAAAACTCACTCGACACACACTTTCACCTTCGAGCGTGCCCTCACATCCAATATATAAATATATAATTATATAAATATATCAAAATATATACATATATTTGTATTTATATATTTACACGGATATATATTTATTTGTATATAAATATAATTTATTTGTAAGTTACTATCAAAAAATTTGAGTAGTTTAGTGGTTGGAGTATCAACCTCCAACACTAAGGTACTCGGGTTCGAATCTTGTCATTAACAAAAAGGGACCTAATAAAAATATAATATAAAAGAGATGGGCAATTTCTAGATAAATAGAGGGGTTGGAAAGGTTGGAAATAAATAAAAAAATTTAATTTGAAAAATCAGACTTTCAACGTCGGTTCTATTTAACCGACGTTGAAAGTTATGTTAAGGTTCCAACATAAAACCAATTGGCAATATGTGCAGTAGCCTAACATGTATTTTCCTTATGAAACATGGGAAACCTAAAGATAAATTTGAAAACTTTGATAGAAGTGATCATGATACTGTAACTTGCTCCTTTCCCTATTTGTGCAAGGTGTCAAACATCTACATTCGAACGAAAAAAGATGAAGGGGGAGAGCTTTTTGGCTTTGTGCGGTTTGCAAGAGTTGCCAATAAACATGTATTAGAAGAAAATCTCCAAAATATTATGAAATACAAGAAGCTACAAGTTAACCAGTCTAGATTTCAAAGAAACTCCAACAATAAAGCATATTAACTGAATCAATAGGGCGCTTGGGTATCTAAAACACATGTGGCTGGTGGGAAGTCTTATGCTAAGGTTGTTGCAGAAGAGTCCAAAGTAGTTTACCCACCCCTCCTAGCCTTCTTGGTTTTGAATTCAACCGAAAGTTGAATCACTTTGAATTAGAATAAATTGAAATCATTTTGAATTAGAAACAAGGGTGGAGGAGGGAGTGATAGAAAAGTTGAATAAGGCTTATGTGAGAAAGGTACACTGTCCAGATAAGATAGAATCTTTACAGGAAAATTTTTACTATGAAGGTTTCTTTTCCTTTACGGTCACTACAATGGGCAATGATCTTGTCCTTATGGAAGCAAAGAATGAATTTGATTTAGTAGAATAGCTGGATAAATCTGGTGATTAGTAATTGGTTTTCCAAAATATATTCAGTCGGTACTCTGGAGCAGTAGTAGCTAATGAACATTTCACATGGGTCCGTTGCTTAGGTATTCTTGCTAAAATCCTAAAAATTCCATAGACATGGGTGGAGGAAACTTTGCTAAGGCCGAGAAATGTTGGAGATGAACTTCAAAAACGATATGGGAATTGGCCAAGACGCAATAACTAGAGTAGGTGTAGGGGTTACCATCTTTTAGGAAACCTATCTTTTGCTTGGAGCCTCGTAAAAGAGTAAAAATGGATGACATCATGATGGATGGAACCCAAAGCACGCAAGCCAATGAAAATAGGCTAAAGGAAGTTTCAAGTGATGATGAAAGAGAACTGATTGAGAGGAATATAGGTGCGAATGGGCCCAAATAGTAACGCATGTCAGCTACTGAACCATTTCAAATCGCTCTTCCTTAATGTAATCCCATATAGGTGGGAAGGAGCCTTTCAGAAGTTAGGGAAGCATCTTCGAATAAGGGCCCATATGTTTGTATTGGGTTTATGAGCTTCGACAAGGATCCAACAAAATTGAAAAACAAACAAGGAGGGTCTGTGTTGAGGCCCAACGTCACACATGATTCATATGGTCCCTACTGCAATCCATGGGATTTTAGAGAAGGTCTCGACAAGGAAATTTTATTCGCTACTTCAGATTCCTTTTCTGGTAACACAATCACAAACTCCAACATCCATGATTGTAATTTGTTGTTGAAGAAAGATATTGAACCTGATCAAATGACTTCTAAAAGTATGGAGATGAGTAAGCAACTTAGGGTAGTAATTCAAAACAATGAATAAGAGATTTTAAATCAATTGATATCTATGGAAGATAGGGATTGTGCAATCACGGTCACGAGTGGGGTTGGTAACAGTAATCAATATGAAAATAGTATCTTTTAATGTGAGAGTTCTTGGAGGAGTTTTGAGAAAGAATAAGGTGAGAGATATAGCATGGTCAATACAATGCGATTTCATTACGTTACAAGAGACAAAGTTAGTAAATGTTTAGAATGGGTTGTGCAATTTTCTGTGGGGGGACACTTCTTGATGTTTGGGTATCAAGATCGACTAAAGGGAGAAGTAGCCTTATCTATTCACTACTAGAAAATATACTTTCAACGTCGCTGTTTAACGTCGGTTACTGTTAGAAAAGTAGTTTTAAATCAAGAGGGGGGGTGAATTGATTTTTGAAAGTTTTTCGCAATAAACAGATTATTTAATCCGAAAATTAAGATTACTTATCAATTCACAAATCACAAAGCAATTAAACAATACAAGCGCAGCAACTGAAATTAAAGAGAGAAAGGTTAGGAAAGATTTCACCGGTAATTTTATACTGGTTCACCCAATACCAGGGCTACGTCCAGTCTCCAGCCAAATTCCAGCTGGGTTCCACTAGAATAGATGTTTTACAGACTCAACAATCTTACACCTACTCTAACACCAGAACCAATTTCCAGTTCCTGACTTTAACCTTTCCACCAAGAACCAAATTCCAGTTCTTGGAAACCTCTGCAACCAAATTCCAGCCGCAGAGAAACCAGTACCCAAATTCCAGGCACCACACAGTACAAGAACCAAATTCCAGTTCCTGCACTTAACCTCTCCACCAAGAACCAAATTCCAGCTCTTGATAACCTCTGCAACCAAATTCCAGCTGCAGAGAAACCAGTACCCAAATTCCAGGCACCACACAGTACAAGAACCAAATTCCAGTTCTTGGAAACTTCTACAACCACCTACCAGCTGCAGAAAGCTTGTACCCAAATTCCAGGCACAACACAATACAAAGTAATGAAAAAGAATTTACAAAGAAGAGACTTAGAAAGCTCAAACCGGATTACTCTAATCCACAGTAAGTTTCTTCTTCACAGAATGCAATATGCCTCAAGAAAGATTTCAAAAAGAACTTCACAAAACAGTTGTAATTCTTTCTTGGAAAAAGATGCTTAACAGTTGCTTGAATTGATTGCTTTGTTTCTGTAAAAACTGATATTCAATCTGTTGTTTCAAAGTTTCAAGCAAAACTGTTTTTAAAGAGAATTTTCAAATCTGCTGCATTAATTAATCTGTTGAAAGTTTGTTTTAATCTGTTGAAATAGCCGTTATAATCTGTTAAAAGTCCTTTCAACCTATTAATGCGTTCTTGTTTCTTTAACAGAATGGTTTTAGTTGATACAACCATGTTTATATCAGTTAAAACATTTTACAAACATTTTCTAAGTATAAAACAATCGATTGAATCGCGTATTAATCGATTGATTTGTTTAAAAACCTTCTTATAAAACTTTCCAAGTTATTTTAGCTGATATAAAGTCGTTTTAATCGATTGAAAATCTGCACATATATTTTCAAGTCATTTTAATCGATTGAAAGTTCGTTTTAATCGATTGAAAAGATTTTCTAAGTTATTTTAATCGATTGAAATACGTTTTAATCGATTGAAATAAGTCTGATCGGTCATAATTCAATTCTGATCGATCATAACCAACTCTGATCGGTCATAATTTCATTCTGATCGATCATCCTGACTTCAAAGTGGTTTTAATCGATTGAAAAGTGTTTTAATCGATTAAAATAAATCTGATCGCTCATTTTTAAAGTCTGATCGATTATATTTCATTCTGACTGTCATATTCGAATTCTAATCGGTCATAAAGGGTTTTAATCGATTAAAAGAAGTTTGTATCGATTAAAATACTGTAAAAACACTTCTTTACGCATTCTAAGTGATTTTAATTGTTTCTTTTAAACTATATCAGTTAAAAAATTTGTTAGGAAAGTTCTTTGACAAAATGCTTTTGTTTTTGATTTGTTTAAAACTATTTTTGAGGCATTTTGCAAAATGAGTGAAGAAGCTTTATGCAGTGGAAAAGGTAAAGTGGTTTTACCTAAGCTTTCTGATAAGACACACTAAGTCTTCAGCTCCATTCTTCTGAGTGACTTGTTTGACTGTTGCAGAGTTGACCTTTGACTTTATCTTTGACTTCATCAAATCACTGAGATCTTTGCTAGGATCACTTTCAGTTACATCTTAGCCGACGTTGAACATGCTTTCAACGTCGGTTGGTCAACAACCGACGTCGAAAGTCGAATTTTGACACATTCTACGTCGTTTTAGCATGCACGACGTGGAAAAGTAGGCTTTCGATGTCGGTTATGCCCTCACCTGACGTTGAAAACCCTTCTGAACTCATTATGACCGATCAGAATACAAATATGACCGATCAGAATCGAATGTGATCGATCAGATTTTAATTATGAGCGATCAGAAGTTTTTCAATCGATTAAAAACACGTTTCAATCGATTAAAATCTCTTAAAGGGTCAGGATGATCGATCAGAATCTAGTTATGACCGATCAGAACTATTTTAATCGATTAAATCTCGTTTCAATCGATTAAAACATATGACTGGAGATAAATCGAGTTTCAACGTCGGGTGTGGGTATAACCGACGTCGAAACCCCATTTTCCCATGTGAATAGGCTACCATATGCATTTTTGTATCTCCCCTTACTCTCCAGCATCGCGCCCACTCCCCTTACTCTCCAGCATCGCGGCCACCACCTACCACCGTCATTTGGACTCTCCGGACGCCCTCCCTCACGTCGCCACCGCGCACCGCGTGACACCCCCGCCGCAGACACCTCCACCCCACTGCGGCTTCCACCCCACCGCGACGCTAGTCGCCCACCCTCCACCCCCACCGCAGCCTCCACCCACATTGCATTGTCCGCTCACCACGGCCTCGACCCTAACGCCGCATTGCATCCTCCACCTCCACCCCGGTGCGGCCGCTCGTTTCTGTTTCTCCGTGGTGCGAACCTTCATCGCTGCCTTAAACCACAGGTACGATGTTGTTGCACTTATATTTGTTGGGCAAAGTCATACAATTTTACTTACTACATTTCATAGGTAGAGATTGTTAGTCATTTGTCGTTAACTGTTGATTCAATTCTTAGTCATATTATAGTTTTTTTCAATGTATTGATGATGTGTACAATTATACTTGAACTGCTTGAATATGCCAGTGGGGCTTTTTATTGTCGGGTTTCAACTGTGTCATTTAAAATTGTTGCCAAAAAACAAAGGAAACTTCTGCTAGGATTTTTGTTAGAAATTAATCATGAAGTGTGAATTCTGAAAACTACATATAACAATGTAGTTATATAAGTGATGGTAGTAACAATGAAAACTCTATAATTTCAATTTATACAAATTTGGTTTTGACCAAAAAATAGACGAAATTCTGTTGAAATTTCGTTACAAATTAATCTACTTTGGTATAGATTTCATTAGAGATAACGATTATTAGTAATAATCGTTTTATGGGTTTCTCATTTGTAGACTCCAATTCCAAAATGGATCGAAGTTGGGTAAATGCAAGTCGTATTTCACAAGAGTATGAGAATGGAGTTGAAGAATTTTTGCGATTTGTCGAACACAATGGCACCAAGGTTAATGGAAAATTGTATTGTCCATGCATTAAGCTGCGTTAATGGGAGAGTACACACACTAGAGACAATACGGGAACATCTTTTATGTGATGGGATAATGAAGAATTATATCCTATGGACATGGCATGGTGAAGTGATTGATACACCAATAGTAACACAAGGCTGAGGAAGAGGAGGATATGACAATGGAAGATCGAATAGAAGACATGATTCGTGATGTAGGTCAAGAGAATTTTCTGCAAGCACATCTTGCTTGTCTATGATAAATTGAAGATAGATTCGAGAGATACCTCTCGTATGCTTGGATGTACAACATTCACGCGATTGTCGATTTGTATTGAGATTGGTGAATTTGAAGGCCAAATTTGGTTGGAGTGATAAAAGTTTCACTGAGTTACTAGAAGTTTTGAAAGATATGCTCCCAAGCGATAACACCTTGCACGATCGTATGTATGAAGCCAAAAAAATACTTTGTCCAATGGGTTTACAGTATAAAAAGATACATGCTTGCCCTAATGATTGTGTATTATACGAGAAAAGAGTTTGAAAGCCTACATGAGTGTCCAAGATGTGGTGTATCGCGTTACAAATTGAAAGACAAGGATGATAATAGTGAATGTATTGATAGAAAGAGACCTCCTGCAAAAGTTATATGGTATCTTCCAATTATTCCAAGATTGAAGCGATTGTTTGCCAATGGAGAAGATGCCAAGAATATGATATGGCATTCAAGCTGCACAAAAACATGATGGATTGCTTCGTCATCCGGCCGATTCTCCACGAGTGGAAGAAAATTGATTGCCTATTTCCAAGTTTTGGCGGTGATGCAAGAAATGTTAGACTTGGACTAGCCACAGACGACATGAATCCTTTTGGTAACTTAACCAGTAATTACAGCTCATGGCCAGTTCTTTTAGTGATTTACAACCTTCCACAATGGTTGATTTTCAAGCGCAAGTACGTGATGTTATCCATCATGATTGCGGGTCCAAGACAGTAGGGTAATGACATAGATGTTTATCTAAGTCCGTTAATAGATGACTTAAGGCTATTGTGGGAGGAAGGAGTGGATGTGTTTGATGCATATCAACAGCGAGCTTCAAGTTACATGCAATGTTATTTTGTACTATCAATGACTTCCCGACATATGGAAACTTGAGTGGGTATAGTGTCGAGGGTCATCATGCTTGTCCTATTTGTGAGGAAGATACAAGTTTTCTACAATTGAAGCATGGAAAAAAGGCTGTGTATAATAGGCACGAGAAAATTTCTTCCACATAACCACCCATATCGAAGATTGAAGAAAGCTTTTAATGGTCGGCAGGAAGATAAAATTGCCA